TGATCCCAAGGTGGGATTGGGGGGGGATCCAACAGCTCGGGAGGGGGGTCATATGAGACCCCCTCACCCTTTTTTGGGTGGGGGGTTCCAGGAGGGATTTCCTGCAGGAGGCCCGGACCTGGGCTGGCTGTGGGACCCTGGGGTGTCTGTGGGACCCCAACTCACCCTTTTTTGGGTGGGGGTCCCAGGAGGGATTTCCTGCAGGAGGCCCGGACCCTGGGGCGGCTGCGGGACCCCAACATCGTTCGGCTGCTGGGGGTGTGCGGGGGGCCCGGCCCCCTCTGCATCATCACCGAGTACATGGAGCACGGGGACCTCCACCAGTTCCTGGGCGGGCCCCGCGGCCCCGCCCTCAGGTGGGACACGCCCCCCTGACCGGCCACACCCGTACGAGCCACGCCCTGTAAAGCCACACCCCCCACCCCCCCTCGAGCCTTTAACTCCTGTGGGGTCCTGTCCCTTTAAGAGCAGTTTTAAGCCCCACCCATTGTCCCAAAAGCACCACCCATCACTCAGGTAGGCCACGCCCCGTGTGACCACACCCATTCAAGCCCCTCCCTCCCACCCTTATAGCCCCACCCCTTTCTTTTAGCCTCGCCCCTTTATTTTAGCCCCACCCCTTCCCCTTAAGCCCCTCCTCTTGGTGTCACACCCCATTAAACCCCTCCCCCTCACACCACACCATCTCAAGCCCCTCCCCTTCACACCACACCCCTCTAAGCCCCTCCTCTCCACCATCAAACCCTCTGAAGCCCCTCCCCTTCCCCACCACACCCTTCTAAGCCCCTCCCCTTCACACCACACCCCCCTAAGCCCCTCCCCTCCCAGCCCCACGCCCCTCTAAGCCCCTCCCCTTGGCAGCCTGCCCACCCTGCTGCACGTGGGGGCCCAGATCGCGTCGGGGATGAGGTTCCTGGCGGGGCTGAACTTCGTGCACCGGGACCTGGCGACGCGGAACTGCCTCGTGGGCGACGGCATCACCGTCAAGGTGGCCGATTTCGGGATGAGCCGCAACCTCTACGCCGGGGAGTACTACAGGGTGCGCGGCAGGGCCCTGCTGCCCATCCGCTGGATGGCCTGGGAGTGCATCCTCATGGTGAGGGAGAGGGGACTGGGGGGAAACCGGGGGTTCGGGGGGAAAAAATGGGGTTTAGGGTGGGAAAAGGGGGATTTGGGGGGGAAAGGGCTGATTTGGGGAAGGATTGGGTGGGAAGAGGGGGATTGGGGTGGGAACAGGGGGTTTGAGGGAAGAAGGGGATTTTGGGGGGGGGAAAGGGGGATTTGGGGAAGGATCAGGTGGGAAAAGGGGATTTGGGGTGGGGAAAAGGGGGTTTGGGGAAGGATTGGGTGGGAAGAGGGGGACTGGGGTGGGGAAAAGAGAGGGTTTGGGGTTTGAGGAGGGGGATTTGGGGTGTGAGGAGGGGGAATTGGGGTGTGAGGAGGGGGATTTGGGGGGATTTGGGGCAGGACCGACCCCATTATCCCGGGATTTCCCCCCATCCCACCATCCCAGGGCACGTTCAGCCCGGCCAGCGACGCCTGGGCCTTCGGGGTGACGCTCTGGGAGGTTCTGACGCGGTGCCGGGAACAGCCCTACGGGAGCCTCAGCGACGAGCAGGTCATCGCCAACGCCGGCCACCACTTCAGGAACCGCGGCCAGCAGGTGGGACTGGGGCAACTGGGGGAACTGGGAGAGAATTACGGGGCACTGGGAGGCACTGGGAGGGGGTTATGGGGCACTGGGGGTCCCTCCCAGTGCCTCCCAGTCCCTCCCAGTAAGGCCAGTTCCCCCCCAGGACTACCTGCCATGCCCCCAGTCCCTCCCAGTAACCCCAGTTCCCCCCAGGAGTACCTGCCGTGCCCCCCCGGCTGCCCCCCGGCCCTGCACAAGGTGATGCTTCGCTGCTGGGCCCGGGAGGCCTCCGAGCGTCCGACCTTCGGCCTCCTCACCCGGCTGCTGCGGGACCCCTCGGCCCTGGGATGAGCCTTCATCACCTTCACCTTCGTCACCATCATCATCATCTTCACCATCATCCTCCCCCGGCTGCTGCGGGACCCGGTGGCGCTGGGATGAGCCTTCATCGTCACCTTCACCTTCATCATCATCATCTTCATCTTTATCATCTGCTGCGGGACCTGGTGGTGCTGGGATGAGCCTTCATCATCATCGTCATCACCAGAGTCCTTCATCCCTCCTACCTCCTCCTCCTCTTCATCCACCACCTTCATCCTACACCTTCACCTTCTTCCTCCTTCATCCTTCATCACCTTCATCCTCCTCCTCCTCCTCTTCCTCCCCCCGGAGAAGCCAAAACCTCCCGACCCGGGACCCCCCCTCACTCCTCATTAATTAGGGGGTTAATTAGCAATGGGCGCAGCCTCCTTGGGGGTGTGGCCTCGCTGGGGGCGTGGCTTTTGCCGGGTGGGCGTGGCTTCTGCGGGGGGG